TGAGGACGTGCGATTCCTGACCCCACTGGTCGGTAATTGGGAATCATTTAATTTGACACGAATTTTCAGGAGTTTAATTAGTTGACATTATTAGTAATCATTCTTCGCGTTGTGCCCATGTCAGAAAGATCCAGCTGATAAAGGCAAGCCATCTTTTTGCTTTTGGGTAAAGTTGTTTTAAAGATGACCTGTTTTGAAGTATTTGCCTAATCTAATCTTTATTTGTTGTCCTTGGATGATTTTCAACAGAAAATGGGACTGTGCTAAAGGCTTTTTTGAGCGAGGACCGATCAGAAGCCAAAGTCGTGGAGGAGCTTAGCTTAAACACAAGAGGACTAGTAAGCCTTTGGATTATCTTCTGTTTGAAATTATGCTTACGATGCGGTTTCCATAATGTAATGTTTCATAATGAACCCGAACATCGCTTCAGTCTATTCAGTTTAATATTAAGTCTAAGCTATTCTCATTTCCAACCAGTTACCAGATTACCTTCACAAAAAAGATTAAATTTCCCCAAACACCCCCAACCATATAAACCTTTTTTTTAAAATGAGAATTGTCTTAGTGGCTATGTAGTTCATATGCAAAATTTTCCAGTCACATTTTTTTCACAGAGCCATGCCGCCGTGTTGACCATGCTGAAGAGTGATGCTGATCAAGCCGTGTTCGTTGGAACCCACCAAGGTGTTTACAAAGTTCCGTTCCAACATTGCAGAGACTATAATACAACCTGCCCAAACTGTGTTGGAGATCCATACTGCAGCTGGGAGAATGGAGTATGTTTGCATTTAAGGAAAGGGTGAGTTCTAGTGGAGTGACTGAGGTGAAGTTTGTAGGGGAGGGGGAACTTGAGGGCCTTGTGCGGGGAACAAGATGTCCCACGCTCCCAGAATTCACAAAGGTACATGGGGCTTGTTTGTTTTGCACCGATCTGGGTCCCGATCAGTGATCCCAAGGCTGTTTCGCACCATCTGTTAGGCGAGTTTTGGTGTCCATAAACCAACGACGGACTACTGATCGCAATCCGAATTCGTGTGAAATAAACACGGCCATGGAGTACCAAAGCGTGACGTCATTTGAACAAGGTAGTGAAGCGCAAATAAATGGAGTGTTTGTTCACGCAGCGGTTCTCGCCCTGATGCCTTCACACACGTCATTATGTATGTAGCATATTCAATTCAGTATTCTATAAAGGCCGTTGTAAGGTGTCCCGATGCATGTTCCACCCGCCTTTTAAGAAGCTGACTCCTGGTATAGGCCTTATTTGATAAATGATTCAAGAACCACACTGTTATTCCAAGATCATCAACTTCCTTATGGATAAGTTTAGCTGCGCCCCCGTTAAAATGGTGAGTGTTGTTTAAACCTTCACAGTCCTGAATACAGTTTTAACACACCCTACGGAATTAGGGTTGTTGACTTTTTTTTGGGGGGGGCTGGCTGAATTGCCTGTCCTTCATAAGTAGGAACTTTTTGCCTTTTTTCCAGAATTGAAACAAACGTTGAACTTGTGCTTCATTTTCCTTGCAGATTGCAGGATGCGGCAAATATCTGCCCCCCTGGTGAGTATTTTTGCTCTTCCTCCACACAGGGTATAGCTGTTTAGCCAAACAGACTATGTGGGCTGACTGGCAAATCAAGATAACATCCATTAAAGGCTGATAGGCTCGACGGAAAAGTTTATAAAAACGGCCTTCATAGTCTAGAAGTATGGTCTGCAGTGGAAGCAGGCAGGCTGGTCGGCAAAGGCTTACAGAGTACAATGGGTTTTAGGTAGAAGGAAGCATAGAAAGACGTTGACTGGCAGGCTGGCTCTGAAAGGTGTGCAAGATTGCTTAATGCTGGGTGGCTGGATGGCCAGAATAGGGCAGTAGGACCAGTTTAGATAGACAACAAAGATGGCAAGCAGAGGTTTGGAAAATGGCTGGCAAAGACTTGTAAGATAGATGGCCAGCATAGGGCAGTATATAGGACTGGCTGGGAAAGGCTAACAGTATGGCTACCAGAGACAGGGAGGTTGGTCTGACGAAGGCTTGAAGGATTGCCACCAAAGGCTTGACGGTTGGCCAGTAAAAGCAGACAGGATGGCCGGCAAATGCTTTTGGGATAGATGGCATTTGAAGGTTGGCTGACAAAGGCGCGCAGGGTGGCTGGCAAAAGTCAGCAGAATGTCTTGCATTGAGAAGTAAACTAAGCAGCAAAAGTTTACCCTATGGTGAGCACCTTTTTAGCACTATGATAATGACAATAATGACTATGAATAATGATGATTTCGTCAGAAAGTTTACTATTCGTTTTCCAATGAATTCGAACTTCACTGAAGTACGGAAATGTGCATACACCTGTACGTTTCTTGTTCTATCAGACGACAAAATCATCATCCACAATTGTCCAAGTAGGCAGGTCAGCTATGTTCGACGCTTGAATGTCCCCAACCATCCCCTGAACCTGTTCGTAATGGCTGAAGCCGCTAAGGAGGACAACGTTAGCATTATGGGCAATGAAATCCGTTGCCCTCCGTGCGGCAGTTTGCCGTACACCGAGAGCAGATCCGTCAGTTCTGGCAGGGAGTTTCTAGTGTTACACATCAATGGATCATCTACGGAGCGTGAGAGCTGCTTGTGCTCTGTGGTCTTGGAAGTAGAGTGTGGCGAAACTAAGGCGATTAATTTCACTATCACAGTGGATGACTCCCGTAAGTTATTTCCGTATTTTTCCTTTTGTTTGAAGAACCCGTGTGCAAGGGCAAATTGACTGCGGAATAATTTTTGACCAAAACTGCCTTTCGGTCTTATAAGTGTCAAGTATTTGACTTGACAAAAGGAGTCAATTTTATCCCCAAATTTTTAATAATCTATGAATACTTATTCCACCTGCGAAATATACTACCCCAAAAAAGTTCAGGACCACTTTTTATTTTGTGTATACTTTTATATGAGATGTTTTACTACCGAAAATACTCAAATACAACTGTCTTGAATGACCTGAAAGACACTGTTAACAGTTTCACCATGTAGACAAACAAAAAATGAAAGAACTAGACTCATTGCTTGGAAAAGAATTACAAATTAAGAAAAAGTGGTCCTAAATTTTTTCGAGTAGTATATAACGAAAATGGTTGTCCAATAGGAGATGTCGAAAATTACTATGTGACCCACTCTGCAAAAAAGGCCTTTACGTCATGCTATGCCTCTGTATGTAACAGACTATTCCAAACACCTGCCAGAGATCAAGTCTAAAGTTTACTGTATTTCGGGAATAGAATGTGGGACAGAGGTAAAAAAATCCATTAATTTAATCCTTATTAAAGGATTAAATTAAAGATTCTTCTCTATCCATAGGCATCACTTTGTCACACGAGAGCCCAAGGGCCATTTTTGCAGAGCCACTCACATATACCCTTCTCAACCAATTTGAAATCTACTGACTTTTCCATTGAACCATTACATTTCATAGTGAAAGCAAAATATGAAATAATGAAGTGTTTACATGTTTTTCCACAGCGCAATTAAACTTGAACCAGGAGTGCCTGGACAAATTGTCGAATTATGACAGGGACATTTCGCAGTATAAATTTGGCTTAAACAGCTGGATCCGCAAACAGGTACACTTGACGACCTTCAGCTGCAGTAAACACTTTTAGTGGAATATGTTTGTCTTTGGTCTTTACATTTGTGTTTCTTTTCAGTTTGAAGGTGGGCAAATTTTCTTGACCAATGTGATTTCACAGGCTACGGATTTTTCAGACTGTATACGTTTAAACAATTTTTCCACATTTCAGGCTAAATCCTACTTAAATAAAACAAATATCATTTCAAGCCAATCATTACACACCCCTCTTTTTCCAAAGAGTTCCTGCGGAGTAATTGTTATACGTGATTTATTGAAAATTGCGACTTGGATCAACATTTACAAATCTTTCTTTCTCTATCAGGACAGGAAATTAAATGTTGATTTGGCATTGCAAAGCGATATTTAAAGAGACTTTCGAAGATTCCTCAGATTTTTACGAACAGCTTTTGTATGCTCTTATTAAGACTGCTGTTGAAGCTCATTGTACTGATCCATGGGCTTCGTATAATACCCTCTCCAAAAAGTGCATCATCTTGTAACCCTTTTGTGATGATTATAACGCTCAACGTTTGACTGTCTGGTTATTACTGACAATAGCATTCTGAAACAGACATAACGAGATAAAAGGAATAAATAAATGTGTTTAGATTTTCAAACTTGATTTATTCCATTCATTACAATGTAGGCCAATTCCTGTGGTGTCGAAGATCTGCAGACTTGCAAACGTCATCCGTGATCCGACGCGATGTGTGATTTCTGTAACCCAGGGAAGTGCATTTCAACGATTGCTGGGTTAAGGTTTCTTGCTTGTCAATGAAACAAGATGCGTGTGGTCCTCATCAGGATGTTGGATTTTGTATGCTTTTTGGTTTTTATACAGAGCTTGTTGAATGACTTAAATAATGGAAGTAGCCTGTGTGCATTGTTTGAAATTGTTCGTTATGCCTGTAATGCAGCACATAATAGGTGTGCAGAGAGATCAGAAAGCTGTGTACTTCGAATGGCATTGTATTACTCAGATTATATTGACCAATATGTAAAGGACCCACTTATGAACTGCTCAAGATCCCATCATAAGGCTAGTTATGGTAATACAATTTATTTGGTTTATTCGTTAACGATAAGTTTGTTGTTTCATTTTGGTAATAAAATATATGTAGACCGATGTAAAAAGTGACAAATTATGTCAAATGGAAACCTGTCGGCGTCCTCACGTCATGGAATCAGGTGATGGCTTTCTGTTTGAAAAAAATATCCACTTAATGGGTTCCCGACCAGTCAGAAAGAGTTGAATGTAATAATTGTAAGTGTGCAGTGCTTCGATTGCTGTGATTATGCACGGTATGATTGCGCATACCGAGTTGGATTTGAGACAAATATTTTGACACTTTTACTCTTTGGAAATGTACATAACATCAAACAGATAAAAGTCGAGTAGTTACAACCATTCAATGGTATTAACAATTTTGACACATTTGGCTTGTTATGTTTGAAGTGTTGTTTTGACTGCACTGCAATATGCTTGTAAATCAGTATCCATAACTGTCTGTATAGTTACACAAATGGTGAGGGAAGTCCCGCTCATAATTATGGCACTTATTCACGAAGTGGTTTGAAAATCTAATTTGCTTCTTGGCCTCATTGCACATGTCTCGACTGACCATGTGCATGTAACATTATAATCTTAGAAGATGTTATAACTCTTGCATTAAGGTAGATGAGACGAAGGTTGTTTGGCCATCTATGGGCGCGCCTATCGCCAAGCTAGAATGCATATCGTCTGCATAGGGTATTAATTTAGCAACCAAAATGGGAGACTATGAGATGATTGGTGGCGCTAAACACGTCGGTCTGTTTTACTAGTTCTGTTCCATCTTTCTCTGAGCATGTGAACTTAGTTCTGAACCCCGAGCAATACTCGAGCTTTACTCGAGCTTGGCTACTCGCACTGGTAGTTTTCGTGGTGCGTGTGTACAGGTAAACCACGCTCGCCTTGGGTAAAAGGCTAATCCAAGGGCAGATGGGGGGGCGAACGGGGCCATAGCCACAAAAACAAAACAAACAAAAAAAAACCCCGAAGAGTTTTCTGTTTTAATCATCGTGAAGATATTAAGTGTCTTTAAGGGAGGTTGTTTTGTTTGGACAGAGCAATTTCGTTCAGGAAAGCTGCTTAATACAGGCAATTCACAACACGGCGCGTCAACAAGAGTTTGACGCAGACAAACACACTCCACACGTAATTTGGGGATATTTGATTAATTAAGAATTGAGGAAACACACCAAAATATTATTTTGACTACCTAGCACAATGCCAAATTTTTAATTAAGATAATCATGTATTCGGAAAAAAAAATCAAGTTTTCTGCGCACAGCACAGTTGGCAAGTGAGACTTTGTCGACTATTCATCCTATAGTGTTCGCAAAGCATCCCTCTCAATGACAACCTCTCGTGTGAATCGCTTGTATTTGTGACTGGTGTGATCAGGTATGTAAAAGTACACCGAGGACACTGCCTGCCTTTTTGCACCCCCCTCCAAAAAAAGAATCGGTGTGGATCTACCCTTGCTTCCAATAGCGTTTCAAAGTCTCTCAATGGAAGCCAGTACCGCCAACACTTGTCAATAGATGATACGCACATGTCACCTTTCTCCTCACGGGACTGAAATATTCTACCACCCATGAAGCCTCTATTACTACGAAAATTCCCCCCCCCCCCTGTTAGCCGCATACTTCCACAATTCGTGCGCGAAGCTTACGAACACCCCGTGCTATTCAACAGGTTTGAATCATTGACAAAGATTTTCCGCTCATCCTAGGTTGAGGGTCAGGGAAGAATTAGATTTAAGCGCATTTTTGAAACAAAAGCTTATTCAAAGATGTGCTAATACATTTTGCGGTTTATCTAGGACTTTCCATAATTAATGTAAATAAATATCAGGGAAATCTAACTTAAACCTAGGCAAAAGGTTCAAATGTTAACTCATTTCTTGTCGATTTGTGTTCACTTAAATAAAGTCCTTTGAAATCAGGGTACACTCGAATACAATGAAGTGTGTCAATATTAGAGTTAGACCTACGGTGTGAATAAGCAAAGAGTAAAACTTGTTTGTGTTACAAAAACCAAGCTGTGGGCATGCATTCGTGATCAAGTGATTTTTGTCAGAATGGAAGTTTTTCTCTAATCTATCAGTAATATTACTAAAACCAAAATGCACAATATTACGCCAGTAGACACAAATTGCTGTGATAGAGTTTAAGCTACAAAGGTCCCACGAATATGGAAAGAGTTTATTTCCAAATTGCGATAAGTGTCATTTCCGTATCTTTCAGAATGCAACCCTCTCTCAATTGCCTGCAGTCAGGTTCTACAGCTTTTGGACGGCTAAACACAACGAGTCAACATAGTGGGAGAGAAGTTCAGAGACACATTGTACAAAGCTTCATTTCCTCAATGTGTCATAAGTGCGAAAAGACTGTATGTTTTTAGATGGATACATCTCATTTTGGAAATAAATCCTTCAGAGATAAAACCATTCTTCCATTAATGTTCTCATTGAAAATCATGTTTAAACTTTGATCTTAGTTATTCTAAAACATTTACAGCTATGAAAGGATATAATTGTACATAAAACGTTTAAAAAAGATGAAATCTATTGTCTCGTACAGTTGTCTAACACCGCTTCACACATTCTTTATTTAATTCTATTATCTGGCAGCTGAAGGGATAGATGTTACAAAAGTGTTGTCCAGAAAGTACCACTGCCTTGGCGCGTCAGACCGTTCAGACTATTTTGTTTGTAAGGATTTTGTCTGTTACTCGCGGTTGCATCTGGCCTCACATAAATTACATCCTTCAATCAAGTACAATCAAATTAGACAACAAAATCTCCCACAACTTAAATCCATTCTAATTTCAAACGAATGGTAAGTTCATAAACTATCTGACAGGTGGTCACTATTATTTACTTTCAAACGTTTCAAAAACTAGGCCTACTGGGTTTTACACCATTTTTCATTTACACGGATGCTGTTGTCATGTGCGTCGATAAAAAGTTCCACACTCAGCGCAGTTGCTAAAACGTCGTATGTGCATTGGGTTGGGTTAATACGTCATGACCACTAAAAGTCATCGCTAAACGAACATTGCGCACTAAAAATCTCGCCAAAATACATTTATCCCGAATCAACCGCTAGTTATCAAATTGGTCCCTAATAAAACTTGCAGAGTTCAAGAACATTTAAGATTTTTTCAGTCTTCAAAAGTGCTTATATATTTCTTGACAGCTAATAATTTCACGAAATTCATTATTTTGAGTTTTGCTTGTAGAACAGGTGAAAACCAGAAACGTTGATTTTTCTTCTGACTTATAGTCATGGGTTTTCACTAACAGTTTTCAATTCCGGTATGATCGATCGCAATCTGTGATTTGTAGTCTCAAAAAATTCCACTGGAAACGCACCACTGGAAACGCATATAGAAACGGATTGATAGTCGCGTTACATCACAGCAAATAGTTTACAACTGCCAAGGCAAGAAGAGAAACATAATCCTTGCATATGAACGCAAGGAGTGACACCAAATAACAGGCAACCCCGTTGATATAAAGACGCCAACCAGAAACGACACCACTGCCTTCCTGTGCTGCTTGAATTCTCGGCGCTTGCCTCTATCAACTTTGTCAGGTCTACTGCTCCACCTCGATGTCCTGGGTTTCCTTGACTGTAGCTGCATTGTCGTCCAATCCAGTGTCAGCACGCAGCTGTCTTTGGTATGATTGAAAACAGATGGTTGTGGCAGTAACTGTGACCCTCTTTTGGTCTCGGTACCTGAATTTCCTGGGACAGACAACGCTTGGATTTAACGTGGCTTAGTCGTTTGTCTGTCGACTGTTCTTGAGACTTACACCTCACGTGAATTCTGGCACTTAGGTCTATGCTTGGCACTTTGGCTTTTTTTTTTAAACTATCGAGGATCCTGAAATATAGCCAGTGATGTTGATGTATACTCAAACATTGAAGTAAATTCTGGTCAGCAACGGAATGAAAAGCTTGAAAACCACTTCAAAAGCCTGAAAGGGCAGACTATCCAAAGATTCATGTTAACAATTGTTGTCATAATCGATTTTATCACCGCCTGCTAAGGGACCCCACAGAAAAGCTACCAAGGAAATAATAGTATGCTATTTAAGCTATGACCCAATGATCATGGTAGCTGCGCGTTTGTGTGTCTGAAAAGAGTCATAGGCAAATTTTTCGGTCAGCAACCAGTGTCGATTGTCTGTGATGCGTCTGGCTTTGGTGTAAGCAGCAATGACAAAAATTTTAATCATGACTTCCACTATGGAGATGATACCGGTGTTTGGTGAGACCAAACACCGGTCAGAGTGATCCATTACCAATTAAATCCATAATGTAGCATTGGCTGTCAATTACAAAAATGCACAAATACCTAAAATATATCCTTCATGTGACACTCTCTCTTGCTTATTTACGGCATAACTGACGCATTCCTTTTATAGCTAGAGACATTGGCTTACCCACAGGGTTTATCAAGCCACCCTGGGTCGGTATTACCTCCCGGGTGCAGCAATGACTGTGTTAATTGCGTCTGACTGCACAAACGGTTGGTAAGCGACAGTCAATTTGCTTTGATTGTGACGGACTTAAAATGTTTCCTTAGGGAATTTGTAAATTAACTCATAAAATCTCAATACGATTTTCACCAGGGTATGGAGCCATGTTGACGGAATTCGTTGGAGGGGCCTCAACAAGACAACTTTAGAGAAAAAATAATTCTTTTGGATGGACTGTGCTGTTCAAATGAATATAAAAAACACAAAACAATTTTTAATCTTAGTTTTAAATCTCAGGCTTACATCTATTGATGTACAAAGCAAAATAACGTCACAACTGCTGGTTACAGATGAGTTATTAATTTAGTTGCTTTTTGTTGTTTTAAAATGTAAAACAAGTATTAATAATTTGATGTCTTTTCTCAACATGTAAAAATGCTAAACACGTTGTGGTGTTTATCTTTACTCTGGGCTCAACAGCGCGGTGATGGAGATCGATAAATATGGGCCGAATTGGCGTATATTTTCTGTCATCCTCACCCCAGGCATACCCCTACAAGCCTGTAAACTCCCATTGGCCAGATCCCAACCACTGCCGAGTTAAAACTCTTGAAAGATCAGTCACCCCAAGGAGCCCATATGGTCTGTATCAGGAACCGGATCTCTTTGTTGATAGACATGTGCAGACTGGTCACAGCTGTTTGGGTTGTGACCTGGTATTACCATGGTATTACTTACACTTCCACAGCAGCATAATGGAATGTAGTTAGAGGGGCCTGGGAATGTATTAGCTACCACAAACAGGCGTACAGGTTCAGCCATGACCGGGATTTGACCGTTGATGAGAATCTCCGCGAGGTGACAACACCCTTCGTTTTTGAAGGTTGCAGTTGATGTGTAAATAAACGACTGAATGACACACTTGGGTGTTAATAGCAAACCAAACCCAACCCAACCCAACCAAACCAAACCAAACCAACCCCAACCCAATCCAACCCAACTCAAACCCAACCCAACTCAAACCCATCCCAACGCACACACTCAACCCAACCCAAACCAAACCAAACCAAACCACCCCCCCCCAAAAAAAACCTGTTTGTCGGGTGGTAACACTTTTTGAACACCCTGACGGGTTTATTTCCAAAACGGTGTCTCATTTTCAAAGACCTGTGAATAATGGGTGATGGTTGGAAGAATGTTGCATGTTTGTTTTTCTCTCTCACTCTTTAACCGATTACGAGAAGTTTTTTCAAGCTAAAAAGAAAAAAAAGCTCGAAAACTATTTCATTTGAAATGTTCATGAAAACTGTTTCTCCCGTCAACGAGAAATTGGTTGTCTGTAAATATTTTAAACCAAATGATTCAGTTTCGCGTGGAATGAAATTTATTTGCTGTTCAGCAACATTTTATACAGACCCAAAACGAATCACTTGAGTTGAAAAAAGTTGATTTTTGACATCAAATAAAACATGAGCTGTTATCATATTACAGTATCCAAAACGTAACATGGTCATAGTCCTACAAAAAGCTCGCTTTTTGTCTGCATTATTCGACACGTCCATTCGTTCATAAAGTAGAACATGCAGCATCGATTATCTGACTGAAGACGGGGTATGATACAGGCGCAGAATACGGGCGATTCACAATAGTGCGCCACCAAGAGTTTGCAAAATGTTTGCCAATCATATTGCGCAAAGTTGTCTACCCTTTCCAAACGCGCATTGGTCGACAAATTTCACGCATTGTGATTGGTCAACGCATCGCAAACTCTTGGTGGCACACTATAGTGAAACGGCCGTATTGCTTGGTCGGATTGATTGAATGGTTCACACTCCACGATTCTTATCAGAACCATACCTCTTCCAAAAAGAGATCTCTCTACATGGTGTTCCTGCAAGTCCTCTCATCAGTTTATCTGCAAATCTTATCCATGAGGCATCTACACCGAAAACCCTAGTAGCTTTAGGCTGGTGGTTTTACGACTGTGGCAAATGACAGCAAACGATTCAACGTAATTGCTAACTATAATTTGCGCGCTTAAAAAAAGGAGCACCTGCTGCAAATTTTTCCCCTCAACCGAGTAAAGCTATTTATCACGTATATTATGGATTACTTACTACCTGGCAACCATTTCGACCAAAGCTTCGACTAAAACGCGTCTCCAGCTTGACTGAGGTAAGCAAATTACCTTGAGTTGAAAAAACGCACATTTAATTTTGGCCAATGCATTTCATTAGATCCTTCAATTAACATATGTTTTACAAGTCTCAAGTCCACGTTACTATGCGAAATGTGATAAGTAAAGTGGTCTGCTTTGAAATTGGTCCCAAATCTGACCTGATCAAACGAAACGAGTTTCCAGTTTCCCTTTCGTGTATTCTGTTTTAGTAATCACTGGAAGGCTAAACTCAGGCTGAATTTAATGGGCCGTTTTGAAGAGAGAAGAATTGACTAACTGGTCATCTACAACGGAAGGCTAGAATGTTTCCTGCTCTTGGACGTTCTCATCACCTGAAGGAATCCGAACGTGAATCAAAAATTCACGTTCAATGTTTTTTACGAAGCTTTCGTCATTTATGAAACAACAGTACCAGAATGGCACTTTCTAAAACCAGCTCAAAGGAAATTAGCCTTCAGATTAATACCCCTCGATCAGGGTTCATAATAATCAGTGTGAAACTGAAACACACAATTTATCATTGCATATTAAAGAGTAAGAACAAATTTGGTATCGAAGAGGACGTGGACAAGGCTTATCCACGCAGCCCTTTTATTTTTGGTTCCGAACAAAGATTATTTCAACACAAATACGGGCGTTACGTTGAAACTCGCCCAGCCGCCATTTAAGCAACCAAAGTATAGTCAAAGTACCCGGATGTAAACAAGCTATGACATAAGAAGAGTGATATCTAAACCCAAACAGGGCTTAAATATTACAAAATAGTTCACCTTTGCATATTTGCTATGGCGCAGGTCGTTTACTGTTTATTCTTTAATGTAAAACTGCCTCTGTTAAATATCATGTTCTAAGAAATGAAGGAAATTCATTAACTAGCCCCCCATGAACTGGGGAAAAAACACCTGCGGTTGTCAATTAATAAACAATGACAGTAAACGTTGTCATATCATATGCTGCTACCAGACATAAGTCCATTCCCACCGTCCTCAGTGCTTCATATTTTTATCACAACAGAAAATTGGGAGTTGATTAATTTTCTTTAACGAAAAATTTTCGAATGTTCCTCCATTGTCCAGTGATACATTCCAGGAATGTTCATCACTGAATGTATCTGACAATTTAAATTTTTGACCAACTTTTGATTGTTAATTTGACCAAATGCTTTTCTAGTTCAAGAAAAGAACAGCACACAAAGGGAAATGACACACACAATTATTTGAATGAATGAGTATGAATGGAATATGCAAATGTCAATATCTGCAAACTGTGCAAAGCAACATTTTGTTTTCATACAAACGTATTTGCATTACCAAATCGTCAAAATTAATTTTTTTCCTTTGTTATGAGCCAGCATCATCATTTCCTTCGTATTTGCTTTAACTGGTAAGACATTTTGTCGTAGTTTTAATCTTTAATTACATGCAGTAGCTGTTATTAGATACCCAACTACATGTATTACTTTTGGTCCGGCGTTGCTCCTTAAGTTGTGTGTAAGTACCACGACCAGTTTTCAGAGAATATCTTTGTGTTAAGAAAATTGCTGGCGGGAAGTGGACTCATTCGAGTATTTGGAGTAGTCTGTTGCAACTACTCTCATCAAACTACAATTATTTACATTATTTTAATAGCACAATAAACCAAATAAAACAAAACAATGGGCTTGCATTAGCGAGATTAGAAAAGGCCATGCCAAGCAAAACAAAATGAATAAAGCGGCCATGCATAAATAACGTTAAGAAACATTTTTTATTAACACACAAATCGGCCAAGCAAATGAAAACATTAATACAAGACAATAACTTTTACTTACAGAAAACAAAGACCGCTGTCCGGTCGGTGCAGAACGGTGAGCACAGCAATCAAGGCCGAACCCCCTGAACAGGACCGCCACACCAGCACGAACTCCAGTCACCACGAGAACCAACCACCATCGGTAGCCCACAGGTAGATCCAAGCAGCAATGTAGCTTTCTTTGGAAAAGGTGTGCGAACCTCGACCTGCACTTACGCATGTACCTTTACATGTGTATATTTGTGGGGTATTTCCTTTGTTCTCGTGTACCAAACTCCCACACAACACGGGAAAAATTTCAAATCACTGCCATTTACACCAAATTCAATTTCCTGGGTTGAAATTTCGACAGTATGTCCCTTATATAAAATACTTCAATTTGCGACGGATGAATGGCACTTGAAAATTCCTCCTGTTTGAGTAAATTTGAAATATCTATTTCGTGAAATTCTTGTGGGGTACCCCTTTAATACCCTACAAGGATCAAAACTGGCCTCGTGAGGTACGTTCCATCGTTCCGGTACAAACGTTTAACACACGTTCACCATAACTGACGCCAACAGGGGCAGAGCACCCATTATTAGGACTTAAATGCAGAACGAAACATTCCATACAAACAAAATGAATCGTTTGACATTATACAAATTACAGCCTTCATTTGCAGTCAAAATAGATGCCCCTAACCCCCACAAAACACTTCTAATTTCAAAGGAATAGCAAGTTCATAAACTATCCAACAGATGGTTGTTATTTTTCCCTTTGAGAAACTATTGGGATTCTACTGTCCATTTTTCACTTACAACCAATTATATTGTTATCTGCGTCCATAAACGTTCAATACGTAGAGCGTTCGCTGATACGTCGCAAGTTCGTATAGTGTAACACGTCACGACCGCTAAAAAGCATTGTTATGCTAACCATGCGCAGTAAAAACTGTCGCAGATACATTTTATTTCGTGTAAGTCCTGTTTGTAAAACTGGTGGAAACAAGAAATCTGGTTTCTCAGAGATTTATCAAAAGATTCAGAGTCACACATTTTCACTAAAGGCTTGCAAATTCAAACTGTCAAGATCGGTGTCTATGTTCATTTCGTGCACAATTTCAGTTTCAAACAGCATATAAAATTCCGTCTGAATTGTACCACTAGAAAAGCGTAGAGAGCGGATTGATTGTCGAGTTACACCAAAGCAGATGGTTAACCACTTCCCATGCGAGATAAGAAACACATTCCTCGCATATGGAAGCAAGGAGTGATCCCATGTAGAAAGGCAACCACATTGCTATGAAAACGCCCACCAGAACTGACAGTGTCACCGCTGCCTTCCTATGCCGCTTGAACTCTCGCCGCTTGCCTCTGTCAACTTGATCGGGTCTACTGCTCTGCCTCGCTGTCCAGCGTTTCCGAGTTCCCTTAACGCTAGCTGCATTGTCGTCCAATCCAGTATCAGCAGGCAGCTTTCTTTGGTATGACTGAAGACGGATGGTTATGCCTTCAAGTTCCTCATCAAACCCGGTGTTACTGTGGCCCTCTTCTGGTCCTGGTACATGTATTTCCTCGGATTGGCAATGCTCGCACTCAACGTTTTTCAGTCGTTCGTCTGTCGACTGCTATTGTGTATTACACCTCTCGTGAATTCTTGTACTGGTGCTTGGCCCTCCGGCAGACAATTCACCAGGCTGTCCAGGCTTTTGAAATATACCCTGTGATCTGCGCTTGATGTTGATGTATACTTGAGTACTGAAGTAAAGTATGGCCAGTATCGGAGTGAAGAACTTGGAAACCATTTCAAAAGCCTGAAATGGTACACTGTCCCAAGATTCAAGTTCACAGTTGTTGTAATCATCGATTTTATCACCGCCTGCCAACAGACCCCACAGAAAAGATACCGTGGAGTAAAACAGCAAGTTGATATGCCATGACGCAATGATCATGCTAGCTGCGCGTTTGTGCGTCTGGAAAGTGGCATAGGCGAATTTTTTGGTCAGCAACCAGTATCGATCAAGGCTGATGAAAATGATCGTAAAGACGGCAACATGGACTACGGTGTAGTCCACAGCGAGCCATATCTGACAGGGGATCTTCCCGAAGGGCCAGTAGCCCAGGACGATCCATATAGAGGCCAAGGGCAATGAGACAGCACCGACTATCAAATCGCAGACAGACAAACTCAGTATAAATGAATTGGCCACGGTAGACCTAATGCACCTGTCTTTGATGTAAGCAACAATCACCAAAATGTTACCTTTGATTGTCACAATGGAGATGAAACCGAGAATGACAGAAATAGTTACCGTTCTGATTAGACAAAACACAGGTGCTTCCTTGCTGCAGGTGTTGGGGTAGGTATCATTCAATAGCGGGTCCCCAGTTGCGAGCAAATACACACTTGGGTGCTTGCGAGGGCGTCTCTTTCCACTTGCCCCCCTCACTGGCAGTAATTGTGTCCTCAACAAATTTCGCCAGATCATCGCCCGCAGACCTTGGTCGAATCCTGATCGCGTTATACATCGACATATCAGATAAAACCAGGTTAAATGCTTGGGGGAAAGTTAGGCAAATATGAATCATCCAGATTTGTGTAATTTTTATATAGGCATAAAGTTGCATAAAGTTGCATAAAGTTTCTCCAACAGTTGGACACCTTGTGTGCAAGGTTTGGAAAGTTAATATTTACACCAATTTTAATAAAGAAAAACCTGGTCACAAATCACCCAACTTTTTTTTTACAATGTACACTAAAAAAGAAAATGACGTCAGGCTTTCGGTTCGTCTTTGTGGTGGTGATTTGTCTTCAATGCAGCAGTGCCAAATGATGATAGACAGCAGATAAATGCACGTAATGGATAATTGTGCTTCAGAAATGACTCCACGATGCAATTTACCCCTAAGGCAATTGAAGCTATTTTCGCGCACACCCTGGTTTGCTACCAAGGCTTGAGACATGTTGAACCAGACCTTGGACTAATACACGACATGCTTAAGATTCTGACGTTGAGGTTCGTAAACTGTTGTATTTATGGGTTCTTTCTATCCAGTAAATGGGACAAAAGGAACGGACTCACCAAACGTCGGTTTAGCCTTACATGGGGCTGCCATCTTCTACATCTTTATTCATCACTGCAGTCATTGTTTTAATATAAAACGTGTAGTTGGTGCCTGGATAAACATCACTTCCTTTACGCTGTAAACAAAAAAACTTATTAAGCATAGAAACAACAATCACATATTAATGTTGGTGTAAAAGATTAATTGAATTTTCCAAAACTTTGTGTCTTACTCAATGCCCTAGGCTGTTGAAATATTAGAATGGAACAAAACACATGTTTCACTTCCCCGAGTCACTTCCCCGAGTCTCCAAAATGAAGGTTTGTTGTGTTCTAAAACTGAATGAAATTGTTGAAACATAAAGTCAGTCCAGTGTCCAGATTTGTGATGAATTTAAATAAAAGTTCCTCAAAGTTCCAGTCGGATGTTTTGAGTTTAGTGATACAGTTCCGAGTTAAGTACATCACATAGTCCTGGTGCCACTGTGGGGTTTTCGTTGTGCGATGACGTCTGTCCATTGCTGGTCTGGGATGCTGTTGGTTGATGTGGTCTGGTGGTGTTTGATCCTCCAGGACTGGCTCCGAGTCTGGAATGAGCAGCAAGTGGCGACAGTTACGTCGATACTCCACACCCTGGATGTTTACGATGTATGAACGAGGGAGTACTTTGGCCAACCACTAAACACATCTGGTGTAACTTGCTTGAGAACAGGATCAAGGGCAGTTTCTCGTGTGAACTCCTCCAACTTTCCCTGGGAAACTGGCCAATGGTTTGTCACCATATAGACGTGTGCTTCTACTTCATTGGAAAAGTTGTCACATTCATTGACCGGTGAAGTCAGTGGGACACGAGGTGTTTGCCAGGTACATACACAGCGGTGCAGTTGTACTTCATGAGACACCTGAGGAGTCGTTGACACCTCAGCGGTGCATCACACAGGTCTTTGTTGTTAACGAGTGGAACAAGCGGCTTATGGTCTGTCTGAATTGTGACATGGAGGCATCTCAAGCACACGTAGAACCTTTCGCATGTTCACGACGGGGCCAACAGCTCTTTTTCTCTCTGGGCGTACAAGCGTTCTGCTTTGAGCAGGAAGCAGACTTCTTGAGTAATATGCCACCGGTTTCCACTCTGAGTCATTTTGTTGATGTAGAATACAGCCGCCAAGGCCGTATTCACTGACATCAGCACTGGCAATCGTCGGCTTTGTGGCATCATAAAATGCAAGGGCAGGGGCTGATGTCAGAAGCGTCTTCAATCTGCGGAAGACTGATTGCTGGTGTGGTCCCCACATCTAGCTGACATCACTCTTCAGTAGGTTATTGATTGGTGCAGCAACTGAAGATACATGAGGAAAGAACCTGGCCAACCAATTCACCATGCCCTTCGTCGTTTCACCTCGACTTTGTTAGTTGGTGGCACCATCTGTACGATAGCTGCTACCTTTGCAGGGTCGGGATGGATGCCGTCCTTGGTCAGCTTCATGCCAAGGAAGTCAACCTTTCTCTGGCTAATTTGCACTTGTCTCGGTTGAGCTTCAGCCCAGCGTTCTGTATAATCGTTAAAACGTGTTGGAGTTGTTCATCGTGTTCTTCTTTTGTGTGGCCAGTGACCAGAACATCATCCATGTATACCACAACCCCTTGTATTCCGATCAACAGGTCACTCATTATTCGTTGGTACATTTCTGGGGCTGACGTGATGCAAAAGGGGAGTCGCTTGAAGCAAAAGCGCCCAAATGGCGTAATGAAGGTC